TTATGGCCCTTACCCGACTTTGGGTATTGTGTACCTTGACTCATGGTAAAGCCATGAGTTGATGGTGGCTACTATGAGGAATGCTCAGGAAAGTGGGGTTGAAAGAACGAACAGAGAGAAAGAACAAATGTAAATGGACTCAATAATTAGATGAAAAGAAAAGTCAAGAAAAAGAAAAATACACAAGAAATACAAGCAAGAAAAGAAGAGAGTCACTTACACAAATGAAGGAAGATGAGAAAATAGCAAGATAAAAGAATATGAGAAACTGGGCAAGATGAAATGAGAGACAGTGGAAGGTTTAGCCAATATGTCAAGGAGGGCAAAAATTCACTAAAGTATACTAAAATATACCTTACTTGACCCCGAGCCTATGTTACTAGATAAAAAATTCCTATCGTGATCCTGAGGGTTGTATAGCGAACTTAAGGCAGCGAAAATAAGGGCAAGCTTATGGCAAAAGGTATGAATGAGTGTGACTTTGTTCTGAGAGTGAGTGTTGAAAAGTAATCCTTATACTCAAACTGAAATCATTATGTGAAAAAGGAAGATTTTGTTTTAAAGTGAGGAAACTAATTACAATACCAGAATTGTTAGCACCTCAGTCAGAAATTGAAGAGGATAGGTGTTAGTGCGTGGTGAGTCTGTGACATGTTCTGATCACACAAAAAATTCAAGCCTAACAGTGATATCATGCATAGATGTGATGAGATTAATCGGGATTGATAGCCAAATGATTGCAAAGGATAAAACATGGATACTATTGTACAAAGATTGTGTAGTGAGTTATAGTGTGTCGCTTGAGGACAAACAACAAATTTAAGTTGAGGGTGTTGATATATCGTGGTTTCACGGTATTATTAATACTTTTTCCTTAAGTTTAGTGTGTCCAAAAGCCTTTTTGTGCTAATTTTTATATAAGTTTCTCTTTGTTTTGTAGGAATTCTGTCCAAAGCTGAATGCGGAGATTTTGAGCGAAGAATTGCAGAAGAGACCACCTACGGAGCTTATGACGGTCCGTCGTGCTTGTGACGGTCCGTGGGTGGCAGCATAGTGCAGCTGCTGAAGGAAGATGGGGAAGTCTGACCAAGTGTGGGATTACGAAGCTTGTGACGGTCCGTCCTGCAGGTTCGTCATGAAGTTCAGAGAAGTGATCCAGTACCCAGATTCCAAAAGTTGAAGTGTTTTGAAAGGAGACCCTTGACGGACCGTTGTTCCTATGAGGGTCCGTCATACTTGCCGTCGAGGGGAATGAAGATAGCAGTAGAAGAAATTGCACATGTATGGGACGACGGGGTCCATGACGGTCCGTCGTGACCACGACGGTCCGTCGCGTGGTTTGTCGATCCAGTCGCGTTTTGGCAGATTTCCAGCAATTAGAATCCTTGTTTAATTAGGTTTTTGTTTTTTTATAAATAGTTCGAAAAACCTCATTTTTGAGGTTAGACACCAGATAGTTAGACTCTATGAGATTAGACATCAGATTTTTAGATTTTGTGTATTAGTGTTGGATTTTGAGATTCTTGCAAATGATTTTTGGATATTAATCAAGCAAAGTTTGAATTTTATTCTTTCTTATTGAAGTAAGTACATGAATTCGTATTTAATATATTTGAATATTGTGTTTATGGCAATGAGCAACTAAACTCCATAACTAGGGTTGTGGGAACCATAGGCAAATAATGAGATAAACCTAACTAAAATAACAATTCTAGATTAGTGTCTTGCATGTATTAATAATTCTTTCGCTGAAAAGTCTTTTTAACGGATGGCCAACGTTAGAACTCGCCTTAATGCTACTTGCCGGACCAAGGAGGTAGATAATAGGAAAAGAATTATTAACATAGATTTAGTGTATACTATCTAATAGGCTATTATTGATTTGTACGAGGTAATAACTTAGTCAAATATTGAATACGATGCTTAGTATGAGGTAAGGATAAGGGTTAGGATAGCAACACAGTAGCCGGACCAAGGTACGGAGTGAGATTTTCTAGATGCCGGACCAAGGATTTAGAAATACATAATTTATCACTTTGCATGCAAGATACTAAGAAAGAATTGTTATAGTTGGAATTATCAAGTTATGAACCTATGGGGAACACGTAAACCCTAGTTACTTTGATTAATTGATTAAAACCCAACATTCAAAAGCTGTTAAGTTTCTCTGTCAAGTTCGTTATTTATTTTCACTCAATTAGAAATACAAACCCCCCCTTTTTTGTTTTTACTCTCCAAGGAAGTCATTGACCAAACAATAGTAATAACAGGTTGAAGTTAAGTCTAGACTATTTTCCTCGTGGGAATGATCCCAACCTCACTAGTTGGGTTATTTACTTGACACGGCCGCTTTACTTCTTATTTGGGAAGTAAGTTTGAGCATATCAATACATTAAAAAAATTATGAGCAAATGAAGGAAAATTTTAATTTATGTGTAAGGTCTTTAGTAGAACAATGGAAATAAACTTGATCGACTACGTGTAATTTATGAATTCCATATAGTTAGTACCACATGATATTTATGAATTCGAGAAAATTAGTTGTCAATTTATTTGCATTCAAAAAAGAAACATTTTTTAATAATTAATAAGAATATGAAAAGTTAAATGATGGATATTGTAATACCTCAGGAACCTAGTAGACTGTACAATACAGAATTGGGTGAACCACGGAGGGATTCAATGACAGTGAAAGGGACAACGGTATGTCGACCTGCTCGTGGTTTACATCTAGCCGGCGTTGTATACCGTTTGTCCTTCCATGGGTCGTAATCTCATTGAGAAGTTTTGGATTGGACAATCAAGTCAAGCCAGCTGACCCCCTAGACCAAGTGAAGTGGATTAGTCCTTCACATGGTCGGTGTAGTGGATCTTAGAGAGGAGTATTCACAACGAGTAAGAACTGTCAAGCAACCATGATCCACTCCACAAAACGTGGTTCCGTTAATGATCCGTTAGTTTCTCCATGGGTGATCCTCACCAATGTTATGTCATGGTAGTTTTTGTCTTTCCATGTATGCATAGAGTTTGTAAACTACACAATTTAACACCTAAACTATATTGTTATAGTATGCCTAAGCCTAATAATCAATTTAGAACCTGCTCAAAACTTTCATTCTCTAAAAATTA